CTCTGATGCCCGGGCACCGACAGCTCTGCCGTGCTAGCCATCAGCTCTTACTGCAAACGCGGCCCCCAGCCCGTTTCTCTCTCGCCCCCGTGCCCACCTTGGGCAGAGCAGCTCTCCGCCCCCCATCAGCATCCTCTGGGAGAGGGGGGACCCTCTGCTTTGCCTGGGGTGCCCCTGCAGCCCCGGGCACTCCTCAGCCCGTTTTTACTAGAGCAGAAAGGTACCCTCAGAGCTTCCCAAGCTCGAGGTGGGTCAGGACCACCACCGTCCTCCACCCCATTGCAACCCCACAGATCCCAGCCCCGTACCTTCGGTCAGCCCCAGGTGTATACTCCAGTAGATCTGAAGGCACTGAAGCTCCTTCTTCATCCCTCGCTTGCAGCGGCAGTCGTAGAGGGGGCTCTCCTGCAGCACCTCCAGGGCCGCCTGGCATTCCTTGTTGGCCAGCATGGTGTTCCTGTCGCGGCCGGCCAGGCAAAAAAACCGGGAGCTCCAGCTGGGCTCCGCCGCGCACAGCTCGTTGGCTCGCACGCAGTCCACGGGCACCCGCCAGCCATGGGGGTCCTGCCCCGGCGGGGACGGGGGGCCAGCCAGCGAGCGCAGGATCTCATCTGGGCGAGGGGCAGGGGAAGGAGAGACGAGGGGACAGAGAGGTGAGGGAGGGTGACCGGGTGGGGAGAACACTTTGCATCCCCTCCCCGAGACCCCACACATCAGCCACGGTCCCCAACTGGTCCCCGGAGTTAGAATCATAGAATCACAGAATGGTTTAGGTCGGAAGGGATCTTAAAGACCATCTCGTTCCAACCCCCTGCCCTGGGCAGGGCCACCTCCCCCCAGCCCAGGTTGCTCCAAGCCCCGTCCAACCTGGCCTTGAACACCTCCAGGGATGGGGCAGCCACAGCTTCTCACGGCAACCTGTTCCAGTGCCTCACCACACTCAAAGTGTAAAATTTCTTCCTGATGTCTCATCTAAATCTCTCCTCTTCCAGTTTGAAGCCATCACCCCTCGCCCTATCACTACATGCCCTTGGAAAATGTCCTTTCCCACGGTCTCTCGTTAGAGCCACCTTCGGGCTGCTCCGGAGAGGGAGAGCATCCTTCCGTCGCACCCACACCAAGCCCGGATGTGTCCCCAGCCCTCACCCCACTGGGGACTGTCAAACATGCCAAAATCCAGCCGGTGATCCAAAAAAGCAAGCGAGATGACACAGGGCACCCCGGCAGTGGTGACATGCCCCAAAGCATGGGGCGGGGAAGGCGGTGGGTCAACCCAACGCCTCGGATCCCGGAGCCAAGGGATGTCACGGGACTCTCTGTTTCTTATTAAAACCAAACAGGCAAATAAAGAAACACAACGTGTTTCCAGCCCCGGTGCTTGGGGGAGGTGAACCTCCACGCGTGACCCTTCCAGAGTCAAGGGGAGCAGAAAGCCCATCCAAACTCTCCGCACCCATCGCTGTTTGGTTTTTAGTTTGCGGCTCATGTTTTTTGGGGTCCGCCACGGGATTTTTAGGGCATCTGACTCATGGGGTTTAGAGCACTCGGGCTTGGCAGGGGCTGCAGCCCGGTACAGCTCGGAACAAACTCTTCCCCCCTCTCCTCCTGCATGCCTCTGGGCTAGCCGCCCCTTGGGGTGGCAACCATCCAGCTC